GAACAATATTTACATATTCTGAGATCTTCATGTGACATTTAAATACGATTCTCAGTGTATTTAGCTGAAGTTTTTCTTTAGGCAGCTATCAGCCCACAAACCCTTTTATTGTATCCAAAAATACGAAAACTTCGTGGTGCCTAAATTGGAATGTATTCTGCTTTGAAAGAGTCTCTTTGCCTTCGACATGTATCTGCTTGGCTTACTTTTTTCAAGATATTTTTAAAGACTTTTTCTCCCCAGCGGGAAGAACTTTTCACAGGAGTTATTTTAACGAGGCAGACATTTAGTTCAACAGAAGTTTCTCCACGAGAAAAATAAATTAAAAGAATAATTGTCATTTTCAAAGGTAATTAATTAAAAACTCTCCGTGTGATGACAAATTTAACATTTTGCCTGACATGTTGAGGAGAAGAAAGCGCCTGGAATTGCACAAGTGGAATAAAATGTTCCATTTCACAGCAAGGCCAAGCCTGAGTCTTGTAATTATTTCAAAAGGAGTAAAGGTCATTTTCTATTTGCTGCATCTGTATTATGTGAGGCTTCTGTACCAGGCTTACAGAAGTTAACTCATGACCCATTTAGATTGCCCAGATTTCAAACTCAACTTATCCTGTCACAAATCTGATAAAGTAGACATATTCCCCTCTCTAAGTACTGACATAGATGATGTCCAAAGAGGCTTTTTATTTATAGCTCTGGAAGACAAGAGTTTCAGCTTTAAGGCTGCAGTAGCTGGGAGATCAGAGCTCGGTTTGCCTCTTGCTTACTGTGTTAATCCTTTGGGGAGGAGCTGTTTGTAGATACATTTCAGCATGTATGGCTTGGGCTGTTTCTCTGGTGTGGACTCATTATAAAGCTTTGCTTCAGTTGGTGCTTGCATCTTGAGGTGGGAAGAGTTTTCCTTCTGCTGTGGTTGCACTTTGCTGCATATTCATTCAGGAACACTCTGAGTCAGAAGGACAGGTACTTTAAAAGTGCACCTGTGCACACTGGAGATGTGTGTGCAGAAAATGCATGTGTGTCTTTCTTCCTGTGCATGTGCCCATTTAGATGCATATAAGGCTGGGGGTTTTCAACAATCAGCAATCAAGTTTTATGCACAGTTTTATGGGCAGGCTCTAAATACGTGAGTTCACGTTTGCAGATATCTCACACTGGAAGACTGAAGGGGACGTGTCCAATTCTCAGTCCCCACAGAGTCCAAAATCTCCAATAAAATCAATATATCAATGTCAATAATGGAATGAGGGATCAGGTGCTGTGTTCTTAAACCTTTCTAAGAAAGGCAGAAGTAGAGTAAGTATCCAGAAGGGAATAGTAGTCAAGTGCATTGCACCTTGCTTGGTGTGCTTAAGTCTCTCTTCCTTCTTGGTGAATTCTTCCAAGGGCCAAACGCAGAGCAGGTGGCAAAAGTGTCCACCTGCTGCATTTGCCTTCCACCAGCGTAACTGCCACGAAATATTCTGCTTTTTTTTTTTTTTTTTTTTTTTTGCAGTCTGCTGGCACTTCTAGCCAAGCTTTTATAGCCAATGCCAGTGATCCAGCAGTTGGTTTCAGTAAGAACAACTAATGCAGACCAGGTGGGCTATGGCTGCCTTTGGTTCTTGTAAATGGGATCCCCCAGAACTTACAGCGAGTGTGAAGTGCAGGAGAGGAGAGAGCAGACAACGTGCCACTGATTGAGCAGATGGACTGTGAGCGGTGGTGAAGAGGGAAACATGCAGATGTTGAAATTTTGCAGGAATTCACTCTAGGGTCAGGATCAGCAGATGCAGATGACAATGGAGTAGAGAGAGGACTGAGAGATGCTGCCGGTGTGCTGGGAGAAGTGAGAGTGGAGCTTGTCACCTGAAGCAGAGAGGAGCCTTCAGCATTCACCAGTGTGGTGTAGGGGAGAAAGTGTCTTCACTTTACAGTTTTATTTGCAAAACTGTTATTGTGTGCTGAGGGTGTCTGGAGTAAATAGACCCATTTGTGCGGGGCCACCTGAATTTGCGAGCGAATGTCACTCAGAACCCCCGTGTTCAGCTATTTCCTGCTCGGTTTCTACCTGCACCTTCTCCCCTTGATTTGGCTTTGGCTGCCCAACAAGCAGAAGATTGGCCATAATGACTTGAGATCAGAGTACTCAGCACCCCCCGAGAAAGGCAGGCTTTGAAAAACACCTTTGGAGGTTTTGAAGCAGAAAGCACTTCTGAAAAATGTAGTTACACGTATAGAGGATGGAAAACACGATTTGGCTTTTCCCTACTCTTAAACTCTCCTCCTTTTGCCTCTCTCTTTAACCTTTTAAACTTTTCAGTAATTTTTGTTTTTTCCTTGCTGCTTCTCTCTTGACCGTTCTTACCTCCACACTCTCATTATTTAACAGCTGCCAAGGAAAAATAACCCTTCAGGTTGTTTGCTCTCTTC